TGCCTCCGTTGACCTCTTTATTTGCATTAGTAACACAAAGCTCCAGCCCCCCAAACTGAAAGAATGCTTGCGTCTCTTCTCACTGGTGCCAAGAGAAGGCCGGGATTGACATGATCCTATTTTCTTAGAGTCTGGAGCACCTTTCAGACATTCAAGCACAAGTACTCGGACCTGAGATTCTGAGCAAGTGACAGTGCATCTCAGGGCAGCAACAGAACAGATCAGCAAAAACATTAGAAGCATTAAATGAAAACAATAGTTCTTATTTCAAACAGTTTTCACGAAGTTCGAGCTCTTACTGTGAGCGAGTGCCACTGGGTTACAGGAAGTGAATCACTCCCAGTGGTGAACTCTCACCATCCTGCATGCCCGACATGAACAGGGCAGAAAAAGAGATGGTGACAAGGCCAGGTCTTGAGTGCCAGGGAGAAGGACAGAATTTGTTCAGGACAGGAGAGACCAAGACGGGAGGAGTAGGAAATATGGTATAGCCCACCTGAAACCTATCAGTCTTTCCTCATCCCCACCTGACACCGTTCAATGGCTACTTACTGCCAAGATTCCTCACGTGTATGTGGATACGTATGTGTTTTTACCTTCACTGGTTTTTCATTTTAAAACTGACAACTGCTCATCATAAAAATCCCATGATACAAAAGCATAAAAGGCAGAAAATGTAATTCCAGACATCCCCTTCCCGCAGTCTTTTCCTGTGACAGGAAGCATTTGAAGATGTCCGCGTAGACTCGCATCCCTGCTGTGTGCACCCGGTACCAGCTCCTGCCCTTGAGGACAGGAGTGTGAGTAGGATGGCGTGAGCAGCCCGCCACGTGTGTGGCTGTCAAGTGATGTCAGCAACTCTCCTCTCACAAACCAGCAACTTCTTCCTTCATCAAGCTTTTCTCTTGTGGGATGTTTTTTACTTGTTTCTGGAGTTCTGTACATGTTGATTCCGACAGTTTTTGCCAGCTCATTGGTTGCATTTGGGGAGGAATGGAGCCCTTTGTTAGCAACATCATCCAGAACATCCATGCATTATATTTTAATCACTAAATAGCCAAACTGCCAGAAATGAACAGAATCGAATAGAAGCATGATGGAAGAATGAGGAGCAGAAGCAGGGTGGACAGTGCACAGAAGAGCTGAATTCTATTCATCAGTAATTAATCTCTAACAAATAAAAGTCAAGACAGACAAAAAGAGGACACAGGAGCAAAAAAGAGAGAGGGAGAAAGGGAAAGGGTCAGTGAGAAGGAAGAATAATGGTGGGAAGGAAGGAAGAAAAGGAGAAGGGAAGGAAGGGGAAAGAAAGAAGAGAGAGAGAAAGAAGGAGGAGGAGGAGGAAGGAAGGAAAGAAAACAAACAGATCCCTGTTGTAGTCACTACAGCTGCCACATGCTTGTCAGGTGAGATTTTTCATCATCAGTCTTCATCGTCATCATCATCACGACCACCACCACCATCCCCACCGACAGCACCTCCCTCCCTCCAGCCCACAACTTTGGAGCTCTCCAAGTCCCACAGTGGCAGACTGTATGTAAAGGCATATGGAGTACCAGGACCAGGACTTCCCTCCCAGTTGAAACACTCCCAAAACCCAGACAACAGATATAAACTACAGGTTTGGAGACGTTGGCCATCAGGTGGTGAAGGACAGTGATCTCTGGGAGCTGGGAACAAATGAGTAAGTCCTGCCATTGCCCCAGCTCACTGTCAGGAGAGGGAGTTTCCCGGTGGAGCCCCACAGACACCCTGAGTTTAGGAGGTGGAGCTGAAATTCTGAGCCCTAGCGCTGGCGAGGCAGAGGGCCAGAGAGGAGAGAGCAGCAGAGGGAGAGAGCCCTGCATGCGGGTACACAGTCTGCTACGATTCTCAGACCACCGATCAGCACAAGTGTATGAGGAAGCTATGTGGGGACTCTCAGAAAGGATAAAAGGTAACGATGCCCAGCACTCAAGCAGGACAGGGACTAGTGACTGTACCCACTGGTCAGAATGGCAAACCTCATAATTTCAGGAAGCATCAGGCAGAGAGTTCAGCGCCCTCTGCCTCAATAGTGTGGGGAAAAAATGAATCCTATACTGCAGCAAATCTTCAAAGCAAGGATCAGGAGGTTCAAACTGTCTCCATGTCACTTAATAGCATCCCGGAGCAAAGCTATGACCATATTTAGAAACATAAAAAGTAACCAGCACCCAAAGTAAGATCATACTGTCTGACATCCAATCTAAATTTATCATCATGCAGAGAAGTGGGAAAATCCAACCCGTAATGAGAAGAGAAATCAAGCAATAAAAGGCTTCCAGATGGGAAAGAAAGAAAAACTGCCTTTATTTGCAGACATGATCACCTAAATAGAAAATCTGATGGATTCTACGAAAGAGCTATTAGGTAATCAAGGAATTTAGCAAATTTGCAGGAACACCACATTTTAGAGCTACTGTAAGAATGCATACAAATTAAAAACCGGAGGCTTAATTCTCCCTGTTAAAAATAAGGGAAGAAGTGCCCCCCTTTTTTTCTTGAAGCATTTACTTTAGAAAACTTGCAAATTCTTTCTCTGTCTCTTTGACTGTATGCCTATATTTTAAAGGCTAAAAAAAGCCTCTTTTCAGCTTTATGACCCAGGAATGTCTTTTAAAGACCTAGGAAACATCTCTTTGGAATGTAAACATCAAGTAAGATAATACTCCTTTCTCCCAGTTTCTGTGGGAGGGTAGAAGCCTGACTTCAGTGGGGATCTGGTTCCAGATTGTAAAATTAGCTCCTGTTATAAAGATATGAGATGTTTATCCTTCCCTTGGATAAAGTCAATTGTAGTAGTATGCCCAAGCTACTACAAGAGAATACTGATCCCTCGACCCATTCTGAGTGGACTAAACAACAGGAATTTATTTTCTCACAGTTCTGGAGGCTACAAGTCCACGATTGAGTGCCAGCAAATTCAGCTTCCGGTGAGAACTCTCTTTCTGGCTGGTGGACAGCCGCCTTCTGTCATTGCCTTTCCTCACTGTACATACGGAGAGAGAGAGATGAGAGAGCCAGAGAGCGAGAAAGAGAAAGAGAACACTCTCAGGCATCCTCCTATAAGAACAGTAATCTTTATTGGACCAGGGCCTCATTCTTATGACCTCATTAATCATGTCCTTGAAGGCCCCATCTCCAAATACAGCCATACTGCCATACCAGGGTTAGGGCTTCAACTATGGATTTGGAAGGGGCAGGGTTGGGGTGGGGCACAAACATTCAGTCCAAAACACCAAGTAACTAAAACATACAGTTGCCACAGTTTCCAGGCAAACTTAGGATGAATTCTATGTGAGACCTAGTGGTGTCAAGTCCTCTTACTTGAGGACATGTGTGTAATGAGTTGTAGCTGTTTGGTTATAAAAAATAAGGTGAGACCTGTCTTTGGAATCTCTTAGCAGATTGCCTGTGCCGTGTGTCACATCCTATGCAACGCCTACTCAGTAATAAAACTAGCTTTCTTCTACTTTTGTGGAGACACTTTCTGGGTTGGCAGAAGATTTTGTTCTATTCTTTATTTCTTAGCTACTAAAAGTACCTGAAATGAGCCCTCTTCATAGTTGAGGAGAGAGGGCAGAGTGGCAGGGAAACAGGTATTGTACATACCATTGTACATCCACTTCAAAGAGGCTCCAACAAAGGTTTCAAGATATAAAAGGACCTGGGAGTACAGAGAAGCCACTGGAAAGCCAAGATTGGGTTTCTTTTTTTGTTTTGTTTTTTTGGTGAGGGATTGAACCCAGGACCTCACACATGCTATGCAGGCACTCTGCCACTGAGTTAGACCCCCACCCCCAAGACTGGGTTTTTTATCAACCTTCTCTTCTCCATTCCTGGAGTCAACTTTCCCTGCGCTTGTCCATTGCTGCATTTTTCATTAGTCACATAGACATTCATTCCCTGGAGTGATCAGAAGGAAAACACTATCCCAGCATCCTGGTGGCTCCACGTGGCAGTGCTGAGGTGGGTGTGATACCATGGCTAAGAAGAGTGGGTGCTTGAATCAAATAGACCTAGATTCAAATCCAGCCTCCACCACTTCCTAACAGAGTGATCTGGAAAAAGTTACTTAGTCTCCGAGCCTCAATTCCTCACCTACAAAAGGTATAAGGTTAACACTGAGCTTACCAGGTTGTTGTGAGAATTATATGTACACAAGGGGATTTAGGGTTTTAATTACATTTTCCCAAGATTATACTACACTGCCTTCCCCTCACCCCTGAAACACTTAACCAACTGTCCGAGCACTTTTCTCCTCTCATCTGAAACAAGGCTGGTAAAGCACAAAATTCTTATTCTAGTGTTTCTGGAGTCTTTCTTCTGCTCATACAAACTGAGGTGGGTTTTTTTTGTTTGTTTGTTTTTTGTTTGTTTGTTTTTTATCGTGGCAGGAAACAGATCCTGCAGTGAGAGGGATGTGAGGAAACCAGCATTTTGGTGGAGGTAAGCATATTTTCCGGAGAGCAATTTTGTATTGTAGATATACCTCGCAGAATCTATATTAAGAAAACCACCATTCATGCAGAAACTTATGTAGAAGAATTCCGTTGAAACATTATGTACAATGGGAGAAAAGTGAGAACAATTTAAGTGTTGAGAAATTACATTATAATGCATCTTTTATGCATCCATTCTTCAGATGTTTCTTAAGAATTTTTAGAAAGAGGTCAAGCCAAGATGTTGGATGAAAAAACTTCAGGAAAAAAAGTAATGCCAAACTTGAAAAACCCTACTTCTTTATATGATTGTCATACATTTACTGTATACCTACAACTCTAAAACTATAAAAGTATTCCGAAATGCCGACAGTAGTCAATGACAAACAACAGGCCCAAAATAATTTTCAGTGTCTTCCATTTCCTAAATTGTCAATTGTTTTGTACTACTTGAATATCTGAACCGGAGAACCTCCCCTCCCACCCCAGGACAAAGGCGAGAAAATCTGGATGCTGAAAAGAAACACAGACATGAAATATTAGCTCAGTTTTATTATCTATGATTAGCAGTATTTAAGCACCAATCAAAACAAGTGGGCAGAGAGTGCCCAAGTATCCATACAGGAAACAGCTAGGGGGTGGCAACTACTGGAAAGATTATGGCCCTAGGGAAGGATGCACTGCCTAGGACAGGACACTCTTGTGATCTCAACCCCCTTTTCCGGGCCGAGTCTTAGCAAAAAATGGAGGCACAAAGTGCTGCATGGTCTGCACCACTATGGAAAGCCGGTTGAGCAAGGAGGCGACGGAAATTTGCAGGATGCCAGAGTCTTCAGCAGTTAATCGGCTAAAAGCGAAGGGAAAAGAAAATCACTCTAAAGGTGATGACTCCTGGCCTTCCTCACTCCAACCCCTACACCCCACAGGTGGCCATTTGCCATGCTCTTCCGTGTCTCCCTGAGCAAGGCCCTCAGGCTGCGACAGACCCAGTGCCCCATGCCCCTCCTTGGACCAAGCCTACAGTCTCCCTGTCTCTAATAGAGCTCCCTTCGGCAGCGATGGGCCCAGCTTCCCGCTCCCCACCCCCTTGCCCATCTAGACAACTTACATAACCAGGTCACTGCCGATCACCATGAGCTCCCTCTGAACATCCCCGAGGTAGGGTTCAGCACCCGGGGTCAGGTACCTGCGAGCCACCTCCGCATCCACGCAAGACAGGAAAGGCAGCATGAGGGTGCTGGTGGAGATTCGGTTCAGGTGCCATCCACATGGACTTCATGGTTCGGGGTCCCTGGCCCGTCTGAGGCCCGCCTTCTTCCCCACCGCCCCTCAGGTAACCCCCAAACCCTCAGGCCGCCCCCCTCCCTCCAGGCAACTCCGCTTCTCCCACAGTCAGCTTGGTCCAGCCACCTTTGGTCCCCCTACTCCACTTCTGTCCCTCGTGGTGAAGCCCAACCTCTGAACGCTCTCCTGCTCACCATCCTGCAGCGCTGCCCATCATGCTGCCCATCCTCCAGCTCCTACCGACCCCGGGGGCACCTCGTAAAGGATACAACTCGAGCATCGGGCTTCGCGGGGCTCCACTCAAGGCGGAGGCCTCTTCACCCTGCGCTGCGGCCAGCGACGCCCCTCGACCTGGGGGACTCCCGCAGCCGCAGCGCCCTCCTCCCCTACGCCGTCCCAGCCTCCAGGGCCTGTGGGGCCTCCAGGGCCGCTGGGCGTCCCTGCACCGCCCGCCGCTCCGCCCGCGCCGTCGCGTGGGGCCTGCATGGCTGCCGCGCCGTCCCCCTCAGACACCCGACGCGGAGACACCGCTCTCTCCGCCCACTGCTGGCCGACTGAGGCTCCTCGCGAAGCTCCGCCCCTTCGTGCGCAAAGATACCCAGTGCGCCTGCGCAAACTCACCTCAGGCGCGCCTCCTGGCGTGTGATTGGTTGCCGCCCAGCCCGCCCCACCGCCCACGGGCCGCCCCGGAGACCCCGTCGGCTCGGCGGCGCTGGAGAGGCTGCGCTCCCTCACGAAGCCCCGCTCCCGAGCACTGCGCGCTCCCCCGAGTGCGCCTGCGCAAACACAGCTTCGCGAGGAAGCCGAGGGGTGTGGGCGGGGGTACATGTCAAACGCGCGTCAGTGAAGTGGTTTAGAAAATAAAATAAAATAAATTCTAATAATGGCCGCATTGAACACAGCTCCCAGATTTCTGACAACTTAACACTCAGCTCCCCAGAGCCCGCATGAGGCAGCTCCCGCTCAGCACTGCTGGTCGGGTCCCTTCCCCTCCTCGCACGTCTCCAGACAGTCCTTTCGTTAAACGCCCCTCAGTTCAACACTGTTAATCTTCCTGCTGGTGCCCCGACTAGCACTCCAAGGGTAGATGCGGGCATCTGAGCATTACTTGGGGCACCTCGTGTATCAGTCAGGGCTCATTTGCAGATACCTCAAACCTGTCCGGCGGGTTTTACCCAGGGAATCGAACACCGAACCAGGCGCTGGCTTTACACAGGGAATTGAACACACAGAACCAGGTGCTTACAGAATCATTTAAAGAGCGCCAAGAATGGAATGTAGGCTGAGCTCTGGGGACGACCCAGAGCGCCACAGAACTGACCTCTCAAGGGAGCTGGTACCCAGGCCACAAGGAAGGAGGAGAATCGGCAAGCTGCTGACCCCACCCGTGGTTCTGGGAACCCCTGCCTCTGGCGATGGTCCAAGTCCCAGGACGTTGGCTGGCTTCCAGAGCCACACTGCGGCGGCTAGACCCGCACGGGCCACAAGGCAGGAAGCCTTGGACCCAGGGGCGTGCTGCCGAACCTCTAACAATGGGCTCCCCAGAGGCTTCACGGACCTCCGTGGTGTCCACACTCCCACCGCGGCCGATTTCGGGCTACCAACGTGACGTCGCCGAATGCCGAGCTGCAAAGAGATGCTACCCGTCGGCTGTCCGAGGTGGCGAAGCGCACCACTGCTCACACCCTGCCTCTCACCCCACACAGACACTCTGATGCTCACACGGAGACCCACGTCTCCGTGACTCCCGGCAACAGCACCCAGAAGCAGATTTCCATCTCACGTGGCCTTCCAGACCACATGTGAGTGCGACGAGCTGGCCAAACTTGACCGCATCCAGAATGCCAGTTCCAAAAGGGCCCAGGGAGATGCAGCTTTTATTTCTCCAACGTGTGCAGCAGAAGGAGGCTCACCACACGAAGGCTGGACCAGAAGCTGAGGGGCCAGGCCACAGAATCCACCACAGTGCTCCCTTTGACTCCTCCACATCTATACCTCTGCTTTTAATACGTAGTAACAGCAAACACTCACTACGTTCCGGATGCTGTTTCAAGGGCTTTAACGTGTGTTAATCCATCATGCAAGCTTTCCGACAACAATGCCAAAGTCAGTCTCCTGTCTACCACGATGCGTCTCTCCTCCAAACAAACACAAACACACCCACTGTCTGCCCGACACCGGCGGCTCACAGTCTTACCCTTCTCAGTGGGGCGCGCCTGCCACCTCTAGTTCATTCATCGTATCGTGGGGACAGCCTATAGGCCGTGGATTGAGCTATGAAGTTAACTTCCACCAACTCATCCGCTATGAAACAGCAGAGGGAAGTTAGGGAGAGGAGGAGGAGACTGGCTAACGCAAACTTTTATAACGTATGAAACAAGAAATAAAATGGGCACAAGCATTACAGTCCTCGTTTCTGCAATTAGGCATGAGGCCAGAGGTGGTGTTTTTCCATTTCTGCCATGGACTATCCATTCCCTTGTACCTCTTGCCCTCAGCCAGCATCCAGCTGATCAGCATGGGGTGCGCCAAGCCGTCATTCCTGAGGGGCTGAGCCCTTGCGGGTCCCGTCCAGAAGGACTTGCCCCCATCTTCCGCCAAATGTTACTGTCCTACGTAGTGGTACTAGGAGGGACTCCCCCAAATTCTCTGGGTCCCAGGCACGCCTTTCCCCAGCCCTGCTCCGTAGCAGCAGGGCTCTCCTCTTGATCATCAGGCTCCGTCACCCCAGCCAACACCACGACCCCCTGGCTCGTTGGTTCAGTAGCGCACGGAGCCCCAGATGGCCAGGGAAATGCCTCAAATCTAGGTCAGTGGAGCCTCTGTGTGCAGACTGCGATGGTGACTAGGTCTTGAGCAGGTCCATGGACGGTAGCGTGCCGTGCTGGAAGCCATGGCGGGAGGGAGGGCGGGTCCATACACAGAAAAGGAGTCTATTCCAGAGAGAAACACTTGCCGCCCCCCTGCATGAGGAAGGGGTCTAATATAAGCAACCTTCCACCAGGTAGCTGGCTGG